ATACATGGTGAAGGAGTTCAGATGGCAAACAAATGCCACTAGGTTTCAAACATTTCATGAAGTCACCTTGTGACCGTAGATTTGCATTGAAAGGCTTTGAGTTTAATTGATTCTCCTCAAGTCAGAGAGGCCGTTGACGGATCTGTAGTTTGATTTGTGTCCAAATTTCGTGCAATTTCGAGCACGGCAGTGGTCTAACGCAGCAACGAAATAGGCCTCTGCGAACGCCAAACAAACGGAGGGCTTCCAAACTACGCGCTGAACAACGCAGATAAGACCTGCAACCCTAGCACCGAAATACCTGGTGAGCATTTCTACGATACGCGAGTGTTTTGTTCTGTGCCAGAAAGGAGAAGGTGATTCCTACTCGCACCGCTGGGTTTTCCCCGGTGCTCTGCCGGTTGCAGGGTCGATGCAATGCACAGGCACTACAATGGACCTCTTGCGTGGCCTCTAGAGGCATAGTATCATGAAAATGAATAAATACTATAGAATATTTCAGGGATAAGGACACTCTTAGATAGAAAAGAAGCATAATAGGATCGGAGTGCTCTCCAGCCGACACCACCTTGGGGCTGGGGGTGAGGCTGATGCTGTGGTTCTGGCACTGACCCTCAACGACGGCCGATACTATTATTGTGATTTTTTTCTTCCCTAACGATAATAATAATTCGAATGTGTTTTGGTTGTCTATTGTGTTTAATAGTGGTTTTACCGAGAATCATAGATTTTGGTAACTAGTTGCAGGCGTGAACCAACTCAGAATAGCTTCGTGATCATACGTCGTAACAGTTTAGGCCAGCTGTTCACTGCAGTCGATGCCATGCCACTCCCAAAAGAAGGCCTGGTAGCTGTGCCCGCAAGTTGTAGCCACCATTAGACACTCATCTTTTCTGCTTACCAAGCCTCATTCAATTTTTGCATATGTTATTTCCCTTTTTTTCTATTTCCTTAGGCAGTTCGCTGGCGTCAATGTAGTGCCTGACCCTGCAACAGGCATTCTACCCTGGATTTTGGGTAGCATCTACGCAATGGTTGCACGAAAGTATTCCTACCTTAGTTTTCCCCACTAATTCATCTCAGCGCAAATTTGCTCAAGCATCACCGTCGTCCTGCCAACCAGAACCATCTCCCGGTCCTCTGTGTTGCTTTAAGCGGCCGCTCTGCGCTGGTTCATTGAAGTTTTACATAGCGGTCCGCTTGAAGGCAACTATACTCTTTGGGTCCGTCCATTAAGTTTCGATAATGGGAAATATGAGGCGCATTGCAGGCGACTTGTCGCAAAAAGCTTCGGACCCGCTTGGGGTCGCAGGGGAAGGAACAGATCCCGCCCCAGATAACGCAGACAACAGTGGCATCGCTGCCACAGCAGGTGGAGCTTCTCCTTCCTGGAGGTACCGCGGGAAAAGGGCTCGAGCGACTACGGCTGCAATTGCTGCTGTTGCAGTGATAGTGGTGTGTGGGGTTCGTTACATCATGTCCGGAAGGTTTCCATCGTACGTGAAGGCGTCACAGCTGGGACTCGTCGATGCGGCACAGCCGTCAGTGGACGACGCGTCAGAGCCGTCACTGGATGATGCGTCACAACTACCGCTGGACGATGTGAGCATGCAGAAGTACATGGACGACTTCAATGAAGCAGCAGAGGAGATGGAAAAGGCTTTCCCCAAAGAATCGAGCGTGCGTGAAGCTTTTCAACTACACTTCACACCGTCGCTGGAGGATTGTGAAAATCTCTCGAGAGACCCTCTGGCGGTCATCAAAGACCACGTTGCCAAGATGCGAGAATGCGAAGTTCCATCTGCTTCTTCTCCGCAGGCACGGCGAGACTTCGCCCAACACCTGCAGCTACTACGCAGCATTTGCCGGGCAGCCACGCTTCGCGTCAACGAATTAATGTGGTTCTCCGCTAAGGATGAGCAATTTGGCGTAGCCTTGCCTTTTTCTCGCGACGGCAAACCGTCTAGTCACCATTCGTACATAGACCGTTCAGAATGGGGAAGAAAGGGTTGGTATGCAGCTCACCTCTTGATGCGTTGGGGGCTGTCTGGTGGTTATAGCAAACGGGAGGTAGAAGGAGCCTTCGCTCACAGGCTACGATTGTTGTTGGATATTGAGGAGAGATGTAACGACGCCAACTTGAACGCCCGATATTATTTCATGGAATTTCTTCAACCGTTTGAAGGAGACGGCGCTTTCAACCCCGCTCGTGCCCCTGCCGAACACCAGATTCCATACGCTGGAAAGCCATTTCGAACAGCAGCTTTTGCACAAGCAGCTGCGCAGATATTCGGTGAATCCCATGGCACTACGAATTACGCATTCATACGAAAGCTGAGCCGAATTGCAGATAATTGGACGAAGGAACAAGTAGTGGCAGCTGTGAAACAGCAAGAGAAGGAAAATGCGGACAATGCCCAGGAGAGGCTGAAGACTAAGAGGGAACTTATGCGACGGCTGCTAAGCCAAGGCATACAAGAGGATGATCTGGTGATGATTGCATTGTTCCTTTTATAGTCTATGAACTGATTTTATTGTGCGTTCTGCCAGGTGACACTACTTTTAGTGCGGCAGGGGTCTGCATCCGTGGTGTCAGGCCTCGTTACAGTTGCTGCTGTAGCTAGAAAGTTAAACGCAGTCTTGTATTTAACCCGTTTTTTTGTGGGATCTCCTCCTAGAAGGAAGGGTGCTCCCAACTATCAGCGAGGCGAGACTTCTTTTTGGCCTCATGACAAGCCAGATTGCAGAACGGGAATAGAGCCCCGTTTCCGACGAAGGCGATCCCACCGCAGTTTCTGCTTATCCTTTGTCAGCGAGAGCTTGTTTGCGCTGCGCCGGACTGTACGCTGGATAATCCAGCGAAACCAGGTGCAGGAATAACAGTGTAGAACGCTGGATTACTGCGCACATTGTATTTGGAAACTAAATGCACAGAGATTTTATTCACTGTAGAGACATTCGTGGCTGTTAGATCTTTTCTGTTGGTGCTAGGAAGGCGAGGCGGATAACAGACGGAGCATTAGATATGTTAGGCCAATGCTGCAAAAAAAGCATACCGCACCAACTGC